CTGATGTTTTCGATCGGAAATCGAAGCTTACCTCATGGAAAAAAGGGGCCTCGTTCCTTATGTTGGGTTCCTTAGGTCAAGCCCCCGACTGTACTGCTGGACTCTTTGCGCGAGCCACGCTGTGCAGCTGCCACGGCGGCCTTGCGGCGAAAGGAGGATCGAGAACATGGTCGAACAGATGAGCGCATGTCGGGGTCGATGCGTCGGGGGCCCTAGCTGTTGCTTCGCGAGGAGCGAAACTGGTTAACAAGAAGCGGGGGCCCGCAACTCACACATTTTTGGGCGTCCCGGCCTCGCGCGCAGCGTCGAGGCGGAGAAGGTCGAAGGTCGTAGAGCGGAAAGCGGGAAACGCCCGCGGCTGGCCCACCCAGCAGACGGAAGGCCAGCACCTGCAGTGCAGGCCAGACGAGACGAGACGAGGTGCAGTGGCGGCGGCAAGGGCGCGACCGCGAGGGGCGAGTGACAAGGCAGGGCGGGAGGAGGCGAGTGGAAGACGGGGAGCCACCAGACAAACACACGCACACACACAAGCCCGCCAACCATTGCACGCGCGGCGGCGGGCGCCCTCGCCAGCGCACCCGGGACGTGACTGCAGAGCGTGCCAGGCAATTCGCTCGAGACTTACCCTCGCCAGTGAAATGTCCAGCAAATGCACGGATTGGGGCGGGTCGCTTTCAGCATCTGACTCTGACGATGATTTTGACTACTTCACTGGGCTGCAGTCTGAGCACACAACGGCCATGGACAGAGCAACGGGCAAGACAGGAAGAAAGGGACAGGAGGGGGAACAAGAGAGACATGGATGGTGTGAGCACAATAGAATTACACGTGCACGCAAATTCGACCCAGGTTACTTTCGCGATATATATATATATATATATATATATCACAATAGAATTACACGTGCACGCAAATTCGACCCAGGTTACTTTCGCGATATATATATATATATACATATATATATACACATACATTCGCAACACAGCATACGAGATGCACTCATCCTGCCTGCGGAGACGGGTGGCCGCCAAGAGCCGGAATCATTCGCACCCCGCCAGCGAGCATATGTGACTGTAAACATCGATGAGCCCATGCAGGAGGGGGGAGGACGAGGGGAGCAGCACAGCAGAAGTTACGCACTGGGAGCCCACTTCGCTTTGGCACGAGAGAGAGAGAGAGCACGAGGCACACAAGAGAGATAAGGATGCTTCATCAATAATCTGGACACAGCAACGTCGAGAGCTTTCCAAGGGTACTCAAGGCACCTCAGTTCAAGGAAGAGGGAAGCAATCGAGCACTCGGGGTCGATGGCCAGACACCGGTCCACGCATTGAGTGATCAAACCAATCACGCTGCCAATTTTCTCCTGGAGAGAACGGTTCGCATGCCAAGCCTGGTACCGAGGGAATGGCAGGGTGAGGTTGTCAGCAACAAGCAAATCAACGTTCCTGATATGGGGGCGCAATTGAATGCAAGACCCAAGCAAAACATCAAAACCAACAAAAACAGCCGGGCTTTCAACTTTCAAATCAAAGCAAACATGAAAAGTCTTCCGACGTAAGCGGGAGTGTACGGCTCCGGTGTATGCTGAGCTGAACTGGTCGACGAAACCGTCAGAAGCAGACAACACTGCTTTTATTTCGTTTTCATCACAGCCGCACCTGCTCCAGAAACATTACACGCCGACTATGTCATCTGTCCAACTGCAAATCACGCTATTTACGTGCTGAACATGAGGGAGATTCAGCGTCGCAGGGAGAAGGCGTTGCTTCCTTTCAAGGCAACAGCAAACAGCGTTACACACTCCAGGAAAAGGATTACTTCCCTGGGTCATGCCACCCCCTGGAGCGAACAAATCATTGCCAAAATGAAGAAAACCGAAAGACAAGTCCCGGACGAAACGACGCGACAATGATGAGGAACCGGAAACACACGATCACCAGACGACAAATTACGAAAATGACCGTGGAAACTCCTGGAGAAACACATGGGGCTTTCGCGATAGCGATTAGCCGGTTTCTTGCAGCGAGGGATCTTAATATACCTTCGCCGGGTACCGTGTTTCTCGTACCACGCAGCATCGAGCCAATCCAGAGCTTTCGAGATGAGAGCATGCGGAACATTGTTGAAGAAGTTCTCTTTGTCACGCTTGAACGACACCATCGTAGGTGTGTATCCGCGACGTGTCCACACCTCGCAATCAACATTGAAACAATGGAAGCGAGACACAACAGAGGAAACAGAAGACACAGAGAGAGAGAGAATGGGGACGGGTGGATACAACAATGAGATTGATAGCGCGACAGCAAAGAGAAAACAAATCCCTCAGACAATGTTTCGAATAGGAGCCACGAGGCCGAGATTTGAAGGCAAGATTCGATATCTTCGGCCAGCAGTCAACTCCACCGAACACATGGCTATGCGTCGGCCTCACAGGGACGCCGGTGTAGCTACAGTGAACCTGAAGCTCCTCAAACGCAGCGTGGATCTTTGGCCACCGAGGGATCTCTTGTACTCGCCAAGATTCACAACGCATGCACTCCCGGGTGCGGCTCTGCCAACTCCGTGGGCACATGATAGCAACCGTGCTTTTTTGTGCTTGTCAACAGGCGCAACCACGGCGATGTCAAACAATGCACGACGCCACCATTGCACATTTGCTCTGAGCAACACCAAAACCACGAAAATGGTTGTGACGATGGTACTCATCAGCCGTGTACACATGCAAGCCACTAA